GTCTACAAAAACGTCAATCCTTAATTAAAAACTAAAATAGAAATAATCTTCATAAATAACTTATCCATCTTCAAGAACAATGAGAGTAGGATTATGTTTCACTAACTTTTTTTAAATACATATTTAAACATTTTCTTCAATTTCCATGAAAACAGCAACTCAACTACATACCCTTCACATTTTAGATGTTCATTGTGACTGGAAATATGCCACTATCAGGGTCACCGTGGACATGGTTCCTTCATGTTTCCTATTCATTAGAATTATATTGTAAGAAAAAAAATCAAATATATTATCTGAAACAAGCAAAATGAAATAAAGAAGAATACCAAGGGATTAGCTACGTCATTCCATTTAGTGTTTGTCACCTATCTATATAAGGAAGCCTTTTAACACAGAATTACGTCAATTGTTGATAATACAATATATTCATAAAGGATCCTCTGACAAGAATGTTATTCCATAGATGTCATCATTAATTACGCACGAAAGCTTCTCATTAATTTTATCGCAATTATAAAAGAATAGATAAAAAAATTCTTCGAATCAACAACTGACTCTTTTCAAAGAAAGACATTTAAAAGCAACTCAAAAAGTTGAAATAAATTCTTTTTTATAAATAGATTAAAGATGAATGCTACAAATAGTATCGACAATGTTCTTTTGGCCGTCCCATATCAACTCAATATTTGGTTTGGTTCATTTCTTTGGATAGCAGGTAATCTTGGGTGCATTGGTAATATGATAGTGTTTTGGTCTCGATCATCTCGTAAACAAGCGTATTCAATTTATTTATTATCGGCAGCAGTAGCTAATTTACATTATTTTAATTTTGTATTACTTACACGAATAATTCAAAATGGCTTTCAATTTTCACTTATGAATCGTTTCATTATTCTCTGTAAACTTCGACAATTTAGTACAATATGGGGTAATGTGGTGTCTTTTAGCTTATTTTCATTTGCAACCATTGATCGAATTTTGTCAACACAACGTTCAAATAGTAAGTACAAATAATCAAAATAATTGAAAATGTTTATTTGAGTTTTATTTCAAAAGATTTCTTTTTGATGTTTTTAAATATATTTACTTTTATTTAAGGATATCGACAATGGAGTAATCGTGTTTCTCTCGCATATATAATGATCTTTTTAATTCCACTCTTTTGGTTTCTTCTTCTTGGTCATCGAATTGTTTTATATAGAATAAATAATGGCACTTGTGGTCCTTTAGAAGGTTTCTATGCTGTCTATGATAATTACTTTCAAGTTATATTTTCTTCACTTGGTCCAGTAATTGTTATGTCTATCCTAGCTTATCTTCTAATGAAAAATGTTCGAGGAGTTGTTCAACGAAGAATTCAACCCATTAATAGTGTCTGTTCAATCAGCATACCAAATAAGTCAATAATCAATCAAATGGATTCACAATTAACAATAATGTTAACATTAGAATCATTAATTACTATTGTAACATATGTTCCATATGCTACCCGATTAACTTATGCAAATATAACACATCAATGGTATAAAACACAATTACAATTGGCTTGGGAAGAAGTAATTGCTGAATTAATTCATTTATTTTCATATCTTTTTTTTGTGACAAGTTTTTATGTATCGATCATTTCAAGTACTGGTTTTCGTCGAAAGTTCAAACAAACATTACAAATGAAAAAACGCAATGACTCGGCAACCCATATAATTGCTTTTCAGCGTACCTGAAGTACTACTAATGACTAGTAGAACTATAGAGGACGAAAAATTATCTAATGAATTGATATAATGATCAAACACTTGTTGTTGTGAACTAGAGAAAAAGTAGAATTGAAATAAATCATTCGATATCATAAAAAAAACTCAGTTAAATGATATTCTTATCCGTCTTTCAATATACTATATCAATCTTGTAAGGTGCACCAAGTGCAAAAGTGTAGCATAAAAAAAAAGCTTTTTTATTTTATACATCATTAGATAGAACTCGTCGGGCTGAATCTGAATATGTATGATTTTTTTGTGTTTCGAGCATATTTTCGGGGAGAAAACGTGAAAATACTGAAAAATCTGAAAAAACCAACCAATAGGTACTGTTCAGAAAAATTGAGATTGTTTTTACCTTTATATCTTCGCTTTTTCTTTTTGAAACTTACTGATTCAGATTTAGAATTTCAAGCTGAATCTAATGGTATAATTTTTATTTCGATTGAACAAACTATTATAGAGTAATTGTTTACGAAATGATGCAGGGTGAGAAAAAAATGATCTAGCGACATCTCCACCTTGCAAACCTGGGTAGTCTTTCATTGTAGAATATTTTTTAAATTTTTATAGATCAATCGATTCATTATGTGACAGTGGAAAAAGTTACGTAGCCTTTTTGAAAAATTTTGTTCAATCGCTGAAAAAAGACACCAACACTAATTGACTATGTTATCAGAGAGAACGATTTCAATTGGTCATTAAATTTTTTCTCCCAATCGAACATTTTGGACAAACATTTAAAAAAATCATTCTCTATTTAATGGACTTGATATTTCAAGTCGTCTAATGTGTCTAGAGTCTCTTTTTTCCACTTTCAGTGGAAGCAAATGCGCTGTATAACCATATATACTGTGTTTGTATATTTTGCTTACCAAAACGCACGACTAAAGGTGAGAATACGTTTTTAATTGCTCATTTGTTTGAACATTTTTAATAATTTTTCTCTATTAATCATGCCTCCTGAATCTAAAAGATAAAAGCGAGCTGGGGCAGCTTAATTGCGCCGTTATAAACGTAAAAAAGAACAATTTTTATATAATGAAGAGCATTATGATCCAATTTCAATGGCTATAGAAGAGGATGAAAAACTTGAAATAATACTTTTGTCACTTCTCAATGTACGTTAGGCTCTACTGTCAGAAAGATTAACATATTGATATTGTTAAAATAAATGTTTTTATTTTTCAATATTTGAGTCATATTAACCATTGAAACTAGGGATGTACCGAGCCCGAGCCTCTCGGGACTCGGTCAGTCTCAGTCGTCTCGGCCGAGTACTCGGTTGTCTCGGGACTCGATTTGTTTCGATCTGAGCCAGTGTCGTTTAGGTTCATTATCGTTTTTGGTCACTAAGAATGTACTGAGACAGAAGTCGCTGACCAAGATAGAATGTTTTCTCCCTGAAGAACTCCCGAAACTGCGAGATTTTATTAAAACTACTCACCTTAGTTTCATCTAACTGTGTGTACAATCAGTGAAGTCGATAGCAGTAGAAAAAGATCAAGTCTCGGCTAGTCTGGGTCAAAATTTTCATTTCTTCAGTTTTTTGATCGAGTCTGACAGAGACTTGGTCTTTTTTCACTGCTATCGGTCTCACCCATTGTGCACATAGTAAGATGAGACTAAGGTGAGTAGTTCTCAATAAAAATCTCGTAGAGTCTCGGGGATTCTTCGAAGAGCAAATGCCTCATCTTGGTCAGCGACTTCTTTGTCTCGGTACGTGCCTATTGGTCATCCTAATATATAATGACCGAGACGATCGAGATCGAAACTGACCGAGACCGAGAGTCTCGTTTTGGTCTCGGGCTCGGTACACTCCTAATTGCAACATAGTTTTTAGCTGGTTCAAATGTACGATAGATGATTTTTTCAATATCATATTCTGTTAGATTTAATTCTTCAATATTATTAATAGAATAATCATATGTTTCTTTATCATTCTTATGATGTTGTGGAAATTGAAAACTATAACTTCTCATTTAACTACCGCGACTTTTTATTAAGTTAACAACGAATATTTTTTCGCATCTTTTCCTAAATGATTTGACACTGACGTTGATAATTGAAGAGAATGAACCGGTCAACGAACGAGCAATACGAAAAGTATTCTCACAACTCTGTGAATTAAAACCAAATGTATTGCATGTATCAATTGATAACTTTTTATCAATAGCTAGAAGAATTATATAAACTATTGTATATGCATTGATTTCAATGCATCAGAATGGTGATTTTGTAATAAAAGTTCTTTGTTTAATTTTTTTTGGTGATTGGGAATTATTCTTCTTATTATTATTCGTGTTATTGCTGCTGTTTGTTACGTCAAAGTACTGTACTCATGATAGCCATAATCGACATACGAAGAGGGTGTGGGTGTCACTTGTTTCCCATTAAGCAATACCCACACATCTACACCCACACCCACATCCTTGTTTTTGAGTCTGCAATACTTTCTCACTAGTTTTCTTCACTCACTCTCATTACTTTCTACAAAACTAATTGGTTATGTACAAGTATATTGTACAATACTATCTTCTAATATTTTCTCCGTACAACAAAACGTCCGATCACTCAATTAGATCTTCATGTAAAAATTAAAAAACAAATTTTCATTTTTAATATAGAAATAGATTCTGACTATTTTCGCAACAATTAATCATATAAATAAAAAATTACCTAACTCTCAAAACTTGTCTACTGATTATAAACAAGAAAATCAATAAATAAATCTAATAAAACAAAAACAAAAACATAAACATAAACACAATTCACTAATATAGCAACAGATAAAGAAAAACTTATTGAATATCCTACTAGTCAAGGTGTTTCAATTGATTTCGTCATATAAAATCCCATACGTTTCTTTCACACATTCGATAATAAAATACACAACTCTTCATCATCTTCAACTTCAATAATCACATCGATCGAAAGTTTAAAAATTAGTTTGAATAGAGTGTAGATGAGTATGAATATCAGATGTGAATGAAAGGAACACATTCACATCCTCAAGATGTTTATCAAAAACAGGAATAGGACTCCTTGAAACAATCAGAAAAATTCTGAAGACATTTAATTCAATCAAAAATTTATTCAAACTGATCGATTTCTCTACATAAATATACATATATATAAATAGAATTCATAGGAAGTCATGGCAGAAAAGAACATACGATTGATATAGTAAAATAACATTTTAAAATAACAGTGACAAATCGAAATAATTAAATCAACAATCAAGAAACACAAAATGAAATGAATTAGTATTGAAAAGAGCTGCAGAAAGAACAACCCAGATATATGTATATACACGAAACAACTTCTAGAAAATGTTTGAATAGTTGAATTCTTTTTATATGAAATAAGTCATTCATATATTTATTTCTCTTCTTTTTTTTCGAAAGTTCATTTCTGTTTTAAAAGCTTTGATGAGAACATAAAAAAGTTATTATTAAGAAATTTTCATAAATTTTTAATTGATTTATAAAAGTAAAACTTCTATAATTTTTAATATTTTCTT